AGGTATATGTGGAGTCAAAAAACGTTATCTATGGAGGCAAAGAAGGGAATGTATGAAAGTATAGTAGTACCAACACTCTTATATGGATGTGAAGCTTGGGTGGTAAATGCAGCAGCGAGGAGACGGTTGGAGGCAGTGGAGATGTCCTGTCTAAGGGCAATGTGTGGTGTAAATATTATGCAGAAAATTCGGAGTGTGGAAATTAGGAGAAGGTGTGGAGTTAATAAAAGCATTAGTCAGGGGGGCAAAGAGGGGTTGTTGAGGTGGTTTGGTCATTTAGAGAGAATGGATCAAAGTAAATGACATGGAAAGCATATAAATCTATAGGGAAGGGAAAAAGGGGGGTAGGGTCTCCTCGAAAGGGTTGGAAAGAGGGGTAAAGGAGGTTTTGTGGGCGAGGGGCTTGGACTTCCAGCAAGCGTGCATGAGCGTGTTAGATAGAGTGAATGGAGACGAATGATACTTGGGACCTGACGATCTGTTGGAGTGTGAGCAGGGTAATATTTAGTGAAGGAATTCAGGGAAAAACCGGTTATTTTCATATAGTCGGACTTGAGCCCTGGAAATGGGAAGTACAATTCCTGCATTTTAAAAGGGAGTGGTTTGGGATATTGGCAGTTTGGAGGGTTTATGTTGTGTACTTTAACGTAAGCCCTTTTAAACCCTTTATCTGGGGACCTCTGCAAAAGCAGTGATAATGTGTGTGTGTGGTGAAGGTGTTGAATGATGAAAGTATTTTCTTTTGGGGATTTTCTTTCTTTTTGGGTCACCCTGCCTCGGTGGGGGACGACCGACTTTTTGAAAAAAAAAAAAAAAAAAAAAAAAAAAAAAAAAAAAAAAATATATAAATAATATATATATATATATACTATAAAATTTTATATATATTATATATATATATAATATATATATATATATATATTATATAATATATATATATATATATATATATAAAATATATATATATATATATAAAATATATATATATAATATATATATATAATATATATATTATATATATATATATATAATGAGAGAGAGAGGGAGGGATGGTAAAGGAGGTTTTTGTGGGCAAGGGGCTTGGACTTCCAGCAAGCATGTGTGAGCGTGTTAAATAGGAGTGAATGGAGACGAATGTACTTGGGACCTGACGATCTGTTGGAGTGTGAGCAGGGTAATATTTAGTGAAGGGATTCAGGGAAACCGGTTATTTTCATATAGTCGGACTTGAGTCCTGGAAATGGGAAGTATGTACAATGCATGCACTTTAAAGGAGGGGTTTGGGAGGATATGTTGTGTATGCTTTGAGGCTACTGAGCAGCAACCACTCTGGGCTTTTCACCTTAGTCCTCACAGAAGTTGCCATGTTGAGTAGTTAGAATGAAACAATCATAACAATAGTAATTTTTGGAGTAAAAAAAAATACAGAAAAAACTCTGCTAACATGTCCTCTTGATGATAGCAAAAATATAAAAATAACATTTTTGAAAAAACATACTTAGAAATATGATAGAAACGAGCTGATTGCATCAACATATTGCCAGAATTATGCACTATTTTTTTGGTAAGAAAACATTATTTTCCGTAATTTTTCAACTTCAGTTTTAAAATCTCTCAAAACAAAATTCCTTGGCCCTAAGGTGATTGGCCATGGTAGATTCTCAAACACAAATACCATTGGTGAGGTAAAGGTATATTAGAGAGTGATATAAAGTAAGGAGCACCCTTTGGGGTAGGCTGCATGTTATCATATCTTGGAAAGGATACCTTATGTTTTGGAAACTTTCTTAGTTATATGCTGGATGTGGGTCTGAAATTTAAGAATACAGTCAAGGTGGAAACCTTGAAATTTGCCCTCAGTGTGTCTTGTAATGGGTGAACCATTTATCAATATGTTTAGCTGGATATTTAATGCTCTGTTTCCAAAAAGCATGAAGTAGGTTTTGTCTATATTGAGAGGAAGTTCGTTGGTCATCATCCAGTTTGATATTTTATGTAGCTCACTGTGTGCAGTGTTACTAAGTATAGCCGGGTTTAGGTGGTCGAAGACGTAAGTGGTGTCATCTGCGAAAAGAACTGGTTTAAGGAGTTGCGATGCATTTGGGAGGTCATTGATGTAAATAAGAAAGAGTAGAGGATCTAGGACACATCCCAGTGGCACTAAAACAACTACAGGCTGAATATTGGAGGTCACACCATTTGTGTATACATGCTGGTGTCTACCACTAAGATAAGATTTAAAGTGATTGAGAGAGTGTTCTCTGACCCCATAATGCTTTAGTTTTAGGTGCAAGATATTGTGGTCTACTGTATCAGATGCTTTCCGTAGATTTATGAAGTGCCCCAGAGGATATTCATTTTTTCAGTTGCTGTATACATGTATAGTAATTCGAGCATCTGAATAATTGCATCATTCGCTCTTTTTTCAACCTAAACCCAAACTGGCAGGGGTTCAGTATGTTATGGGATAAGAGATGGGAGTAGATTTGTTTATGTATTATTTTTTCGAAGATTTTAGTGAGCAAAGGCTAGTTAGAGATTGGTCTGTAATTATTTAGTTCTGTAGATTAGATTAGATTTTGCCACCGAAGTGGCTAGTTTATTATGCACCCCATATCCATCCTGTGGACGGTGGTGCAAGAGCATAAGGATACACAAAAGGTATAGGAACTAGACCCCAAAAGGGTTAACAGGTGTACATATGGGTTTTTATTTATCTACATATCTACAGTTCACTTATCTGTTACATGCAAATTTAGGAAATTTGCTTAGTATATCTGATATCTTATTTTCATTAATAAGATATCTTGACATGTCACATGGGTTATTATACTGTCTGTCTCTGTATTCCTCAATAAGTGGACAATTAAGCACATAGTGTTCAAGACAGTGACCATATGCCTGATCACATAATTTGCATTTAGTTTAATCATCATCTGTGTGTCTCCCAAACTGCCAGAAGTACTTGTAACCAAGCCTAAGCCTGGCCACTACAACATCAGTCGAAAAGAGATGTTAATCATGTCCTGAGGCAGTCTACCTAAGTTAGTTATGAGAAAAGTTGGGTAGTGGTCTGTAGTGATGTCTATGATTATGCCTGCTTTTAGTGGGGATATAGTATTGGTCCAGATATTATCAAGTAGTCAGGCACTTGTCTCTGTGATTCTTGTTGGTTTAGTTATAGATGGTAGTAGCAAGCAGCTGCTCATAGTGTTTGTGAAATTAACTACCTAGGGGCCAGCTGCTTGAATGAGGTTTATATTAGTCACCAGCAAGTAGTGTTTATTCATCTCTGAGTCATTTATCGTGTTTCTTAAGTTGTCACTAAATGTGTAAATATTAGTGTGAGGTAGTCTGTAGACTGCTCCAACTGCTATGGTTTTTTTTTTTTTTTAGGTTTTTGGATGTGAATTTGGCACATATATATTCACCATATTCATCCCTGGTGCAAGTAGATTTAATACATTTTAGTACACTAGAGTAGTAGATAGCAGTACCTCCTAATTGATCAGCCCTGCAGTTGTGTATGGCTGTGTAACCAGGTAAGGCAAAGATGTCTGTTAAATCATGTTTGAGCCATGTTTCAGTGAGAATGATAAAAGATATGTTAACATTTAGAGAATTAAGAAGTGCAAGGAGGTCATCATAGTGTTTACTCAATGATCTGATATTGTAATTGAATACTGTTATGTTCTTGTTGGCACTGAGTACAGCTTTAACCTGACTGGCAGTGTAGTAATGACAATTATTGTTAGAATTATTTGTGCTGTTTAACAAGAGGTTAATATTAGGATAAATATTTGCATTTATAAGAGTAATGGAGAATGTAGCTTAGTATCAAATAAAAGTAACTAAGGGATAAGCTGTAAAAAAATAAATTGAAAAACAATTATTAACAACTACTATCAAGGATGAGTATATGGACTGAGACTATTAATTAACACAAAAAAGAATGAGTTACTGAGTATTATAAGTTAAATTTAAAAAGATGAATAAATAGAGGGGATGTAAATATTATGCTAAAAATACCTAGCCAAGATAGGACTTGCAGCAGTGGTTTTAAGTTGGAAAAATTCAGATTCAGGAAGGATATAGGAAAGCACTGGTTTGGTAATAGAGTTGTGGATGAGTGGAACAAACTCCCAAGTACTGTCATAGATACTAAAACATTGTGAAGTTTTAAAAATAGGTTAGATAAATACATGAGTGGGTGTGGGTAGGTGTGAGTTGGACCTGACTAGCTTGTGCTACTAGGTCTGATGCCGTGCTCCTTCCTTAAGTGAATGTGACCTGACCTGACTAGGTTGGGCCATAGAGCCACTATCATGCCTAGGCATGATAGTGGCTCTCATTGCACTGCATCTCATTTTTGTAATTTCATAATCTCTATGTAATCTTGCAAGGAAATAAAAATTGATTGATTAATTGATAAAACTATAATTAATCTTTAAAAAATGTATTTTTTGTTAATATTTTTGGGTGTCTGGAATGGGAAATATTGCTTTGAATTTAGGCTGTTTCGAATTTAGGCTGACCTGGAACAGATTACAGCCAAAAAACGAGGTTCCACTGTATATTGTAATAAACAGAATAGAAGAAATCAGCTCTAATATACATTATTTAGGTATGTATATTGGTCAGAGACCCCGTCGTAAGCCCGAGTCGTCGGTAAATGAGTACATCACTAAGTGTCGAGAGGCTGTATAAGTTCCACATATAATCATGCAGTAGTACTTGCAATTAAGCCATCATTGGAGCTTAAATCAGCCCAGGGGACTGCAAAGATTAAGGAGCAGCTGTTAATGTTGCCACTGCTGCTGCCACTACTAGCATTCATTTTGCTGATACTAGAATAATTAGTAAAGTCTGACATGACAATATATATTTTTTTATTCGTCATTCTCTTGATTTTATTTTACAGTTTTGTCTGGTATAGTAAAAAGATTTTCTCTCTTCTTATACTGGAAGTGAAAAAATAATTATTCTTAACTTTTTTCCAGCAAATATTATGAAAAAGATTCACTGGTAGCAGATCCAGACTATGGTACCATCCTGAGCTCCCTCTTAGGTGAGTTTCATGTAAGTGTATTTGAATAATAATATAATAATATCTTTATTTCTACAAGTACATGTACAAGGTATACAGGCCTAGCTGACATCAATGACATACTGCTATGTAGGAAGCTGCTTGTTATGCAGAGTGTTTCGGGCAGATTAGGTCAGTTTAGTCCCAGGATGCGACCCACACCAGTTGACTATCACCAAGGTACCCATTTTACTGATGGGGAACATAGATAACCAGTGTAAGGAAACGCCCTATTTTTCTACCCTCGCCGGGAATTTAACCCGGATCCTTGCTGTGTGAAGCAAGAGCCTTAGCCACTAGGCCACGGGGTATTGAATGAGAGAGATGTATTGTCCAAAGACCAGTGGTTCGCATTCCACTGTATGGTGTCACCTGTTTCTTGAAGAAAAATATGAGCAAAAATATTTTTCTAGCATTATTATTATTATCATTGTTGTTATTATTATTACTGTTATGTGTATCCCTTCAAGAGGTTGCCTGGCTTTTTTCCTTCCTCCAGCATTTGTTTTTGTTTTGCTCATTACTTGAGGATGTTTCATCTAATCAGCTTCAAAATATTTAACAATTGTGTATGGTAACGAAAACCAGATTTTTGGAACAAATGGCATGTTTACGTGCCCTATGACCAAATTTGTTGAATGGACTTCAGCGCCAGCCTTCATCGGTTGTGGATGTCTAACCTGAGCATCATTGACAAATTTCCCATGTTCTCTCTGGGATGCTTTTCCTCATCTACTTTGCCTGCTGGGCATATTTCAAGAAGGGAACTTGTCATTGGCTTAATTTTAGCCAGCTTAATTTTTTCCGCTCTGCGGATATTTATTTAATGGGTTTGGTGGAAATCCGGTTGCTGAACTTGGGTGAAACATGGGTTTCTCTCTCTGCTGGGGCTTGTCAAGGGGATCCATCTGATCTAATTGGGAACTTCTAGTTTCTGTTTCTGTTTACAAAGGGACTCCTGTTCCCTTTTCTTTCGTGGCCCAGCTTTGGGCAGTACAGGGAGGCCCCACTTACACAGCAGGTTAAGTTTTGGGCTACCGCTGTAAAGTGAAACATAGCCTTTTTTTTTTTTTCACTTTCAAATGCATATAAAAGCCTGATGATATGTTTACACTATCACATGTTAATAGAGCTAGACCTAAAAAATGCATATACAGTACACACAATACTTACCTTAAAATATTTTCATCCTTAGCTTATAGTGAGTGTTGTAAGAAGTCTGAATAAATGAAGAATGGGTATAATTGAAAACTGCTGCATTAGGAAATGCTGTAAAGCGGAGCCCTCCTGTATCTTTTCTCCATACATTGGAAAGCAGGGCTCGATATAGCATAAGCTGTCAGTGACTTACAAACCCAATAAGAAGTGGCATAGCTTCAAATGTTCTTAATTTGAAGACAACAGAGAGTGAAATTCAAGTATATAGGTATTTAGATGCAGATGTGACCATTTTATGTGTAAAATAGTGTGGAATTTTTACTTGCATTAAATCACATTAAGTAAGTTATGTGTTTAGGTACAGCTACACATAAGGACAATTATCATACATATGCAGTTTAACAAGTGTCAATTACCTAGGATACCGAAAAAAAAAAAGTCAAATTGACTTCAAAAGTGGCTTCAGTATTTAGTGGCTGATATAGCTTAGGGTCAGTATAGTTCCCATTAAGTTTTGTTTGCATGAAAGCAAACTTGGAATCGTTGGAAGCCATGCCATAACTGGAGCATGACTTATCTGATCGGGTTCAGATTTTCATCACTAATGTTGTTTCCTCAGCGTAAAGTTGATGCTGTTAATGGGTGGCATAAGTCCCAGTTTACCAATTTTATTGAATAACTAGTATTATATATAATGACTAAAGAATGCTTCTGATTGGCATAAAAATACTAATGATGTATTCTGTAAGAAGGGTGATACTCTGCAAGTTTAGTCTAAGTAGGTGCAAATTTGAAATCTTACTGAAATTTTTATGAAATCTGGAATCATTTCAGTCTGATCAACTACTGAAGAATGTCTCTTCGAATCAGTCTCAATCTTTCATTGTTGGTGTGTTTTATTAAAGGAAAGCTTGAGAGTCACTTTGAACTGTGTAAATTTCAATTTACAGATTTTATTAAATGCATAGTTTCTCATGTAATAACCAGAGAATGCCTCTTCTGATTGGTTTCAAACAAACACTGGTTTATCTTGGTTGGAAGTATTTTTATTAATTGTGTTCTGTATGTTTGCCAATTTGCCAGTTATAAGGCCAATTTATTTAAATTTAATTTTCTTGAAAATGTGAAAAATATATATTTTATCAAGAGATTGTAGAGTATTTTAAAAAAATTGCATTTTTTAAATTTGACGATAATAGACCTTACTATTTTCAGGATGTAGGTCTCTCTGTGAGATAACATAAGAATGCCTCTTCAATTTAGTTTCATAGTTGGTATTATTAATGGAAGGTTTAAATTAGATTTGACTTATGAAAGAGGATAAACAAGTATACAAGGTATGATATAGCACGTAATGAAAGTAGTTTGTTAGATTATGTATTCGTGGATAAAAGGTTGATGGGTAGGGTTCAGGATGTACATGTTTATAGAGGGGCGACTGATATATCGGATCATTATTTAGTTGTAGCTAGAGTTAGAGTAAGAGGTAGATGGGATGAAAGGAAAATGGCAACAACAAGTAAGAGAGAGGTGAAAGTGTATAAACTAAGGGAGGAGGAAGTTAGGGTGAGATATAAGCAACTATTGGCAGAAAGGTGCAAGTATGAGTAGTGGGGGGGTTGAAGAGGGTTGGAATAGTTTTAAAAATGAAGTATTAGAATGTGGGGCAGAAGTTCGTGGCTATAGGAGGGTGGGTGTAGGAGGAAACAGGAGTGATTAGTGCAATGATAAAGTAAAGGGTGTGATGAAAGAGAAAAAGGTAGCTTTTAAGAGGTTTTTACAAAGCAAAAGTATTGTAAGAAGAGCAGAGTATATGGAGAGTAAAAGAAAGGTGAAGAGTGTGGTGAGAGAGTGTAAAAGGAGAGCAGATGATAGTGGGAGAGGCACTGTCAAGAAATTTTGATGAAAATAAGAAAAAAAAAATGGAGTGACATAAACAAGTTAACAAAGCCTAGGGAAAGAATGGATTTGTCAGTTAACCCTTTCAGGGTCGACAGGGCCTCTCCTAAAATTGTTCTCAGGGTCGGAAATTTTTTGAAAAAAAAAAAAAAAAAAAAAAAAAAAAAAAAAAAAATTCTTATGAAATGATAGAGAATATTTTCCTGATCATAATGACACCAAAAGTATGAAATTTGATGGAAAACTTAGGGAGTTATGCTCTTGTGAAGTAAGCAGTCTCGATGATGTTTACACATCGGCAATTTCGCCCATTTTGAGCCCTATTTTCTGCCAATTTCAATGTACCAGTTGACAAAAATCATACCTATTTCGCTAGAACTCCATTTTTTTCTATCGAATGAGTACAAGACACCACCCATTTATCGAATTCCACTATCCAGTAACGTGGTCAGAATTTGGCAATTTTGCCAATTTCACACAAATTTCAAAAGATGCCAATTTCCAAATAGGGTCCAGAATAAACAAGACAGACATGTCTGGCACTAAAATAACATTTCCTCTGTTCATTACTCGTGTCCCCAGGCCTCTGTTACATTTCTTTTGCTTTCCACTTTGAATTTTTATTCTCACAAAAAATAGAAGATTTATGTTATGCAGACTACTGCATTCATGTAGAAATGGCATAGAAATTGTATAAATAATATCAGGGCACTTGTGGAAGAATATTACACTCACCAGTTGACGTATATTGGACGCTTGGCATGATTTGTTTACCTTTGAACTTTGGCAAAAATCGAACATTTCTGCTACTTTGAGCTCAATTTCAAGGCACTTTTCATTATGAAAGCAATCAAAATCATCTCAATTTCCGTAATATGTCTTCCATTCTATAAAATGAGACCAGGAAAACTAGAATACAACCATAAATAGCATAAAAAAATACACTGCAAAGTCGCTGTTTTGAACCAAAAACAAAGTTGGAGTTTTTTTTCCTCATTATACACTGTTTACTGCAGTAGTTTTTTATACCGCACACACTGACCACATAGACCCATTCTTTCATATGTAGGCCTACCAGCATTCTCTCGCTAGATTTGAAGGTGCTAGAATTTCTGCGTACTAGTACGGCACCAACCCTGAAAGGGTTAAAAACAGAGTAGGGGAGTTAGTAGATGGGGAGCTGGAGGTATTGGGTAGATGGCGAGAATATTTTGAGGAACTTTTAAATGTCGATTAAGTAAGGGATGCGGTAATTTCATGCACTGGTCAGGGAGGTGTCACATCTTTTAGAAGTGAAGAAGAGCAGGATGGAGTGTGGGGAAGATGCATGAGACATTATGTAGAATGAAAGAGGGTAAAGCAGCTGGAACTGATGGGATCATGACAAATGTTAAAAGTAGGGGGGAATATAGTGTTGGAGTGGTTGGTACTTTTGTTTAATAAATGTATGAAAAAGGGGAAGGTACCTAGGGATTGGCAGAGAGCTTGTATAGTTCCTTTATACAAAGGGAAGGGGGACAAAAGAGATCGTAAAAATAATAGGGGAATAAGTTTACTGAGTATACCAGGAAAAGTGTACGGTAGGGTTATTATTGAAAGAATTAGAGATAAGACAGAGAGTAGGATTTCGGATGAGCAAGGAGGCTTTAGTGTGGGTAGGGGATGTGTAGATCAAGTGTTTACATTGAAGCATGTATGTGAACAGTATTTAGATAAAGGCAGGGAAGTTTTCATTGCATTTATGAATTTAGAAAAGGCATATGATAGTGGATAGGGGAGCAATGTGGCAGATGTTGCAAGTATATGGAATAGGTAGTAAGTTACTAAATGCTGTAAAAAGTTTTTATGAGGATAATGAGGCTCGGGTTAGGGTGTACAGAAGAGAGGGAGATTACTTCTCAGTAAAAGTAGGTCTTAGACAGGGATGTATAATGTCACCATGGTTATTTAATATACAGTGGACCCCCGCATAGCGAACGCCTTGCATAGCGAACAATCCGCATAGCGGATGCTTCGTTCGCTAAAATTTTGCCCCGCATAGTGGACAAAAACCCGCTCAGCGGCCTTCGTCCGAGACGCGTCCAATGTGCGGCCTGAGCCACGCTCACATGTGCCGCCGGTGGCATTGTTTACCAGCCAGCCTCCGCGGTAACATCCAAGCATACAATCGGAACATTTCGTATTATTACAGTGTTTTTGGTGATTTTTTTCTGGAAAATAAGTGACCATGGGCCCCAAGATAGCTTCTAGTGCCAACCCTACAGCAATAAGGGTGAGAATTACTTTGGAGATGAAGAAAAAGATCATTGATAAGTATGAAAGTGGAGTGCTTGTCTCCGAGCTGGCCAGGTTGTATAATAAACCCCAATCAACCATCGCTACTATTGGTGGTACAGCTGCTGCTGCTGCTGTACCACAGTCAGCTGCTGCTGCTGCTGTAGTACCGTCTGCTGCTGCTGTAGCATCGTCTGCTGCTGCTGCTGCTGCTGTACCACCGTTGTTGGTGTGGCTTATTGAGAATACCAAGAAACAATTAACCCAGAGGATTTGCCACCCAGGATAACCCAAAAAAGTCAGTGTCATCGAAGACTGTCTAACTTATTTCCATTGGGGTCCTTAATCTTGTCTCCCAGGATGCAACCCACATCAGTCGACTAACACCCAGGTGAACAGGGAAAATGCCTGGAACTAGTGCTCATATTGGTGAATTTAGAGCCAGCAAAGGTTGGTTTGAGAGATTTAAGAATCGTAGTGACATACACAGTGTGATAAGGCCTGTTCTGGAAGAAAATACCAAACAGGACCTACAGTACTCAGGAGGAAAAGGCACTCCCAGGACACAGTGTCTCATCAGTCATTGCTGCATCTTCAATAAAGGTAAGTGTCATTTATTCTTCATTTAGTAGAGTAGTTCATGCACAATATATATTGTGCATGTACTACTCTACTTTTGTGCATGTATCCTTCTCTTTGTGTGTAGGAAAATGTCTATTTCATGTGGTAAAATTTTTTTTTTCATACTTTTGGGTGTCTTGCACGGATTAATTTTATTTCCATTATTTCTTATGGGGAAAATTAATTCGCATAGCGAACATTTCGCATAACGGCCAGCCCTCTTGCACGGATTAAGTTCGCTATGCGGGGGTCCACTGTATTAGTAGATGCTAGGGTGTTGGGGAGAGGAGTGGGATTAAATTATGGGGAAGCAAATACAAAACAGAAGTTGACACAGTTACTTTTTGCTGATGATACTGTGCTTATGGGAGATTCTAAAGAAAAGTTGCATAGGTTAGTGGATGAGTTTGGGAGAGTGTGTAAAGGTAAAAAGTTGAAAGCAAACATAGATAATAGTAAGGTGATGAGGGTATCTTATGATTTAGATAAAGAAAATTTTTATCTCATATTGGAGACAGGGAGTATGGAAGAAGTGAATGTTTTCAGATGGGTTTATGAAGGATGAGGTAAACCATAGAATTGATGAAGGAAGAAAGGTGAGTGGTACGTTGAGGTATATGTGTGGAGACAAAAAACGTTATCTATGGAGGCAAAGAAAGGAATGTATGAAAGTATAGTGGTACCAACACTCTTATATGGGTGTGAAGCTTGAGTTGTAAATGCTGCAGCGAGGAGGTGGTTGGAGATGTCCTGTCTAAGAGCAATGTGTGGTGTAGATATGCAGAAAATTCAAAGTGTGGAAATTAGGAGAAGGTGTGGAGTTAATAAAAGTATTAGTCAGAGGGCTTGTAGAAATTAGGAGAAGGTGTGGAGTTAATAAAAGTATTAGTCAGAGGGCTGAAGAGGGGTTGTTGAGGTGGTTTGGTCTTTTAGAGAGAATGGATCAAAGTAGAATGACATGGAGAGCATATAAATCTGTAGGGGAAGGAAGGAAGGGTAAGGGTTGTCCTCAAAAAGTTTTGCGGGAGGGGGTAAAGGAGGTTTTGTGAGCGAAGGGCTTGGACTTTTAGCAAGCGTGTGTAAGCGTGTTAGATAGGATTGAATAGAGACGAATGGTTTTTGGGACCTGACGAGCTGTTGGAGTGTGAGAAGGGTAATGTTTAGTGAAGGGATTCAGGGAAACCAGTTATTTTTATATAGCTGGACTTGAGTACTGGAAATGGGAAATACAATGCCTGCATGTTAAAGGATGGGTTTGGAATATTGGCAGTTTGGAGGGATATGTTATATACGGTGGACCCCTGCCCAACGGCGGCATCAAGTAACAGCAAATTCATCTAATGGCGCTCTTTGGCGCCATTAGACTTAGTACCTGAAGTCTTTATGGAAGGGGATTCCCCTTCCAAACAATAGAACACCTGCATCATCTGCCCTCCTACCATCTCATCACTCATCAACAACTCCACAATAAAGGTAAGTGGCATTTAATTATTGTTTATTTTGCATGTCCCATTCGTTTTTGTGTAGGGAAATGTATATTTCATGTAAGAAAATTATTTTGTTTAATACTTTTGGGTGTCTGGAACGGAATAATTCTATTTCCATTATTTCTTATGGGGAAAATTAATTCGACTAATGGAAAATTTGACTAATGGCTAGCTCTCTGGAACGAATTAATGCCATTGGTCGAGGGTCCACTGTATCTTTATATATGCTTCTAAACTGTTGTATCTGGGTGCCTCTGCAAAAACAGTGATTATGTATGCGTGAGGTGAAAGTGTTTAATGATGATGAAAGTATTTTCTTTTTGGGGATTTTCTTTCTTTTTGGGTCACCCTGCCTCGGTGGGAGATGGCCAACTTGTTGCAAAAAAAAAAAAAAAAAAAAAAAAAAGTCCTTATTTGCCATTTTTATTGAAGGACCTGTGATACCATTTTCCAAATGATCACTTGTGAATAACTTTTCTAATTTGCTGCAAATCTTCAGTGCTGATCTTTAATTGCATTACAAACTTTTGCTGTACTCTTCACTATCCCAGTCACATGTAATGAATTATGGGAACCAGATTATTCAATATGAGGATAATTTTCTCAGATTGTTCAACAATCAACATGCATCTAGTTATTATTAATGTCCACAGTTGGCCCCTGTGCCCTAGACTTCAGCAGGATGAAGACTGTTGACCACCTGTGGACAGATCCGCCAGCTGATGAACTGGTTCAGCGTCACAGGATCTCCTCGGGCCATTTTACAGGACCTGCTACACCCCCTGTTCCTCGAAGACCTGGTCTTCATGTGAGTACCCATATCTTTACTACCAGGTTAGGCCACTGAGGGGTGAGGAGACAATCAAGTTCAGACCATGTCACTTGTGGTCTGATGATTAGAGCATTTGACAGCATAAGTTTTTATTTAGGTTTTTGTGTGCATAGAATACAAATATTATTTTACAATGGTTTTGTGGGCACATAAGTGTTAATTAGGCAATAAAAAGTACACTTTGTAGATATAACTTAGAATAATCCCATAAAGTCAAACAATGTGACCTATATCTATTGACTGTAAATTTTATGATGATGAGGTGAACCTCCTGCTTCACTTCATCCTCTCTGCAAGTCACTTATTTTGATAAGAGAATGGATAAAAAAGGCATTTTCGTTATCTTGAACACTAATGACTACAGGAACAAAGTACTCAATTTGCTAAGTGATCTGTATGCTTTGGCCTCTCACAACAAGCCAAGTGGACAACATAAACAAGGCTTTTCTACCTAAGACTTACCATATTCTGCAGGACTCAGAGCATGGTAACATTTGTGAAGTGATTCAGGAAAAATTGGTTGGCTAGACTTGAGCCCTTGAGGTTTGAAGTACAGTGCCTGCATTCTGAAGGAGGGGTGGGAATATTTTCAGCTTTTAACTGTAGCATTGGTAAGACAGTGATGGAGTGAGTGTTCTTTTTTATTGTCACCCTGCCTTGGTGGGAGATGGCCAGTTTGTTGAAAAAAAACTTTCTCGACAGAAATCCATACTTCTAACTATTTCCAGTTTAAAGCCCTTAACAGCTCCCTTCACTGAGCTAGCTAATGCTGCCACTCTGGCCCAACATAAATGAACCCCATCCCTGGCATATGTATCATTTCTGCCATAAAGGTTGTCCCATTTGTCAGTGAATGGCACTGCAATATTTTTAGTGTTTGTCCAGCCAACAATTAACACCTGTTGCCCTGGGCAACCATTAATTTCTAACTCCCCTTTTTGGCAAAATGCCACATTACAGAACACCCTCCCTTCTTAATTATGTCTTGCTGTCCTAATCTGACTGTCTACTGAAAAACATTTCTCTTATTTTCCCTGGTGTAGTTTTCATTTGACCCCAATGAGCATAGTTACACCACAAAAAAAAAAAAAAAAATTAAACAGTCATTTCACATATGTATTACAATTACTGTCTGTATCTGATGAACACTTACTAGACTACTTACATCTTCAGTACTCTTTGGAAGTCTTCCTGATCTGGCTGGCAGGTTTTAACACCTCTAGGAGCCCCATCCTGCATGATGAATGTGATAGGAAATATAATTAGTTGTGTCGCCTGAGTGACTAGTTTATTGTGTGCCCTGTGTTCACTCTGTGAGCTATACAGGTCTCCCTCAACATTCACGAGGGTTAAGGGATCAAGAGCCTCCCCTACAGATTTATACGCTCTCCGTGTCATTCTACTTTGATCCATTCTCCCTAAATGACCAAACCACCTCAACAACCCCTCTTCAGCCCTCTGACTAATACTTTTATTAACTCTACACCTTCTCCTAATTTCCACACTTTGAATTTTCTGCATAATATTTACACCACACATTGTTCTTAGACAGGACATCTCCACTGCTTCCAACCATCTCACTGCAGCATTTACAACCCAAGCTTCACACCCATATAAGAGTGTTAGTACCACTATACTTTCATACATTCCCTTCTTTGCCTCCATAGATAATGTTTTTTTGTCTCTACATATACCTCAATGCACCACTCACCTTTTTGTCTTCATCAATTCTATGATTAACCTCATCCTTCATAAATCCATCGGCTGACAAGTCAACTCCCGAATATCTGAAAATTGTCAAAGTGGGAAGTCTGAATGTGCGTGGATGTTGTGCAAATGATAACAGAGAGATGATTGTGGATGTTATGAATGAGAAGAAGCTGGATGTCCTGGCTTTAAGTGAAACAAAGCTGAAGGGGGTGGGAGAGTTTCAGTGGAGAGGAATAAATGGGATTAGATCAGGGGTTTCAAATAGAGTTAGAGCTAAAGAAGGAGTAGCAGTAATGTTGAAGGATAAGATATGGCAGGAAAAGAGGGACTATAAATGTACAGTGGACCCCCGGTTAACGATATTTTTTCATTCCAGAAGTATGTTCAGGTGCCAGTACTGACCGAATTTGTTCCCATAAGGAATATTGTGAAGTAGATTAGTCCAATTCAGACCCCCAAACATACACGTACAAACGCACTTACATAAATACACTTACATAATTGGTCGCATTGGGAGGTGATCATTAAGCGGGGGTCCACTGTATTAATTCAAGGATTACGTGGAGTAAAATAAAGGTTGGATGTGAAAAGTGGGTTATAGTAAGCGTATATGCACCTGGAGAAGAGAGAAGTGTAGAGGAGAGAGAGAGATTTTGGGAAATGTTGAGTGAATGCATGGGGAGTTTTGAACCAAGTCTGAGAGTACTTGTGGTTGGGGATTTCAATGCTAAAGTGGGTAAAAATGTTGTGGAGGGAGTAGTAGGTAAATTTGGGGTGCCAGAGGTAAATGTAAATAGGGAGCCTTTAATTGAGCTATGTGTAGGAAGAGATTTGGTAATAAGTAATACATATTTTATGAAAAAGAGAATAAATAAATATACAAGGTATGATGTAGCACGGAATGAAAGTAGTTTGTTAGATTATGTATTGGTGGATAAAAGGTTGATGGGTAGGCTCCAGGATGTACATGTTTATAGAGGGGCAACTGATATATCGGATCATTATTTAGTTGTAGCTACAGTTAGAGTAAGAGGTAGATGGGAGAAGAGGAAGGTGGCAACAACAAGTAGGAGGAAAGTGAAAGTGTATAAACTAAGGGAGGAGGAAGTTCGGGTGAGATATAAGCGACTATTGGCAGAAAGGTGGGCTAGTGCAAGTATGAGTAGTGGGGGGGTTGAAGAGGGTTGGATGAGTTTTAAAAATGCAGTATTAGAATGTGGGGCAGAAGTTTGTGGTTATAGGAGGGTGGGGGCAGGAGGAAAGAGGAGTGCTTGGTGGAATGATGAAATAAAGGGTGTGATAAAAGTGGAAAAGTTAGCTTATGAGAGGTTTTTACAAAGTAGAAGTGTTATAAGAAGAGCAGAGTACATATATGGAGATTAAAAGAAAGGTGAAGAGAGTGGTGAGAGAGTGCAAAAGGAGAGCAGATGATAGAATGGGAGAGGCACTGTCAAGAAATTTTAATGAAAATAAGAAAAAAATTTTGGAGCGAGTTAAACAAGTTAAGAAAGCCTAGGGAACGTATGGATTTGTCAGTTAAAAACAGAGTAGGGGAGTTAGTAGATGGGGAGAGGGTGGTATTAGATGGTGAGAATATTTTGAGGAACTTTTAAATGTTGAGGAAGAAAGGGAGGCGGTAATTTCATGCACTGGCAAGGGAGGTATACCATCTTTTAGAAGTGAAGAAGAACAGAATGTAAGCGTGGGGGAGGTACATGAGGCATTACGTAGAATGAAAGGGGGTAAAGCAGCTGGAACTGATGGGATCATGACAGAAATGTTAAAAGCAGGGGGGGGAGGATATAGTGTTGGAGTAGTTGGTACTTCTGTTTAATAAATGTATGAAATAGGGGAAGGTACCTAGGGATTGGCAGGAGAGCATGTATAGTCCCTTTATATAAAGGGAAGGGAGACAAAAGAGATTGTAAAAATTATAGAGGAATAAGTTTATTGAGTATACCAGGAAAAGTGTACGGTAGGGTTATAATTGAAAGAATTAGAGGTAAGACAGATTGTAGGACTGCAGATGAGCAAGGAGGTTTCAGAGTGGGTAGGGGATGTGTAGATCAGGTGTTTACATTGAAACATATATGTGAATAGTATTTAGATAAAGGTAGGGAAGTTTTTATTGCATTTATGGATTTAGAAAAGGCATATGACAGAGTGGATAGGGGAGCAATGTGGCAGATGTTGCAAGTATATGGTATAGGCGGTAAGTTACTAAATGCTGTAAAGAGTTTTTATGAGGATAGTGAGGCTCAGGTTAGGGTATGTAGAAGAGAGGGAGAATACTTCCCAGTAAAAGTAGGTCTTAGACAGGGATGTGTAATGTCACCATGGTTGTTTAATATATTTATAGATGGGGTTGTAAAAGAAGTAAATGCTAGGGTGTTCGGGAGAGGGGTGGGACTAAATTATGGGGAATCAAATACAAAATGGTAATTGACACAGTTTCTTTTTGCTGATGATACTGTGCTTATGGGAGATTCTAAAGAAAAATTGCAAAGGTTAGTAGATGAGTTTGGGAGTGTGTATAAAGGTAGAAAGTTGAAAGTGTACATAGAAAAGAGTAAGGTGATGAGGGTATCAAATGATTTAGATAAAGAAAAATTGGATATGAAATTGGGGAGGAGGAGTATGGAAGAAGTGAATGTTTTCAGATACTTGGGAGTTGACGCATCGGCGGATGGATTTATGATAGATGAGGTTAATCATAGAATTGATGAGGGAAAAAAGGTGAGTGGTGCGTTGAGGTGTATGTGGAGTCAAAAAACGTTATCTATGGAGGCAAAGAAGGGAATGTATGAAAGTATAGTAGTACCAACACTCTTATATGGGTGTGAAGCTTGGGTTGTGAATGCAGCAGTGAGGAGGCAGTTGGAGGCAGTGGAGATGTCCTGTCTAAGGGCAATGTGTGGTGTAAATATTATGCAGAAAATTAGGAGTGTGGAAATTAGGAGGTGGAGTTAATAAAAGTATTAGTCACAGGGCTGAAAAGGGGTTGTTGAGGTGGTTTGGTCATTTAGAGAGAATGGATCAAAGTAGAATGACATGGAGAGCATTTAAATCTGTAGGAGAATGAAGGCAGGGTAGGGGTCGTCCTCGAAAAGGTTGGAAGGAAGGGGTAAAGGAGGTTTTGTGGGCGAGGGGCTTGGACTTCCAGCAGGCGTGCATGAGCGTGTTCGATAGGAGTGAATGGAGACGAATGGTATTTGGGACTTGACAATCTGTTGGAGTGTGAGCAGGGTAATATTTAGTGAAGGGATTCAGGGAAACCGGTTATTTTTATATAGCCGGACTTGAGTCCTGGAAATGGGAAGTACAATGCCTGCACTCTAAAGGAGGGGTTTCAGGATATTAGCAGTTTGGAGGGATATGTTGTGTATCTTTATATGTATATGCTTCTAAACTGTTGTGTTCTGAGAAAGTATTTTCTTTTTGGGGATTTTCTTTCTTTTTGGGTCACCCTGCCAAGGTGGGAGATGGCCGACTTGTTGGAAAAAGAAAAAATCACTTCTTCCTTATTCCTCCTCTCAAATTTCATATCCAATTTTTCTTTATCTAAATCATTTGATTCCCTCATCACCTTACTCTTTTCTATGTTCACTTTCAACTAAATATTATTAATTATGTCATATTAGATGAATTGTGATAGATAAATAAGCCATAGAGTGATATTAGTGTCATATTGAAGGACTACCTTGTCCTATCTCCAAACAAACTGTGCCACTGCCCCAGTTCCAAACATATATAATGACATACTATTTTAAATATGATTGGGCAGCTGGGAATTCGCGAATGTTCGAAGCCCTTGAAAGTGATAAATGCGAATGTCGAGGGAGACCTGTTTGTACAAAAAACAGGATTACAGAGGTCACACTGGATCTCTGTCAGACCCCACTGAGCATTGTTAAGATAAGAGATATTCCTTTCTAGTCATGTAAGATATTAGTTATTTGTTATTTTACAATTACTTCATAAAGTTGTATACATTATAGTAGATTAGATTTTGCCACCGAAGTGGCTAGTTTATTGTGCTCCCCATATCCATCCTGTGGATGGTAGCGCGAGAGCATATGGATACACAAAAGGCCTTGGAACTAGGCCCCGAAGGGTTAACAGGAATACATATGGATTTATATCTACATATCTATAGTTCACTTATCTGTTACAAGCAAATTTAGGAAATTTGCTTAGTATATCTGGTATCTTATTTTCATTAATAAGATATCTTGACACATCACATAGGTTATTATACTGTCTGTCTCTGTATTCCTCAATAAGTGGACAATTAAGCACATAGTGTTCAAGAGAGTGACCATATGCCTGATCACATAATTTACAATTAGTTTGATCATCATCTGTGTGTCTCCCAAACTGCCAGAAGTACTTGTAACCAAGCCTAAGCCTGGCCACTACAACATCAGTCAGTCTGTTCACATTGCACGTTGCTCCATAAACATACTTACCTACGTTCATGTTATCATAGTGGGTTATAGATCTACTCAGGCTTCTAACTGCATTCCTATAACAATCATTTTCATTATTTACTTCTCTCCTAATATTATTCCTAATGCTAGACACAGTTATACCAAAGTTACATTTTATTATAGTAAAGAATACAATGTATGAAAAAAAGATATGTAATAAGAAATAAATTTTTTAGATTGTATTCTTTACTGGACCTTGCACAGCAACTCAAAAATTTTATAAGCTTTACCAGGGAATTAGAAAATATCAGTATCTGGTCATCTTACCTTTTGCTTTCATTATGGTATTTTTTAATCTTGTCTGTTTGGTACTCAGTTGGCCATGACCTTTTTTTTTTTATGTTGCAGTCCAACAGCTTTATTTGTGGAGACTTGTGTTCTTGTTTTTCTGTTTCTGTACTGTAATGTTACAGTCATTGATGAGCGAAACATTTCCATAACAAACTTACCTAACACAACATAAACTTCCTTTTTTTTGTATATTTGTAAGTTTTATATACCTTGTTTGTTTTAAAGAAGTAAGTCATAAGGACACATTGAGTTAAATGGTCAAGATAGTGAAACATTACCTTACATTATACATTTGTTTTCACAACTTGTAATCTTTTTTTTTTCCTTGCCACCTGGAAGGATGCGACTCAAGGAGGGAAGTCCAAAGTAAGTTTGTAATATATTGTTCTACCAACTTTGACATTAATAGCATCATAACCTTACCTGGAGTATACCTGGAGGGGGTTCTGGGGGTCAGCGTTCACTCTGCCCAGTCTGTGACCAGGCCTTGTGGTGGATCAGGGCCTGATCAACCAAGCTGCTCCTGCTGGCCACACATAAACCGACATACGAACTACAGACTGGCTGGTCAGGTACAGACTTTGGGTGCCTGTCCAGTGCCTCCTGTTAAGGGTCTATTAGTAATCCCCCTTATGTATGCTGGGAGGCAGTTGATCAGTCTTGGGCCTCTAACACTTAGTGCTGTCTCTTAGCATACTTCATGGCACCCCTGATTTTCAATGGGGGATGTTGCATCTCCTGCCAAGTCTTTTGCTTTCATTGGGAGTGATTTTCACGTGCAGGTTTGGAACTAATTCCTCTAGGATTTTCCAAATGTATATTATCACATATCTTTCTTGCCTGTGTTCCGAGGCAGGGTGACCCAAAAAGAAAGAAAATCCCCAAAAAGAAAATCATCATTCAACACTTTCAACTCACTCACACATAATCACTGTTTTAGCAGAGGTGCTCAGAATATAACAGTTTAGAAGCATATACATAATAAAGATACACAACATATCCCTCCAAACTGCCAATATCCCAAACCCCTCCTTTAAAGTGCAGGCATTGTCCTTCCCATTTCCAGGACTCAAGACTGGCTATGTACAAATAACCGGTTTCCCTGAATCCCTTCACTAAATAATACCCTGCTCACTCTCCAACAGTGGAACCTCAAATTTCGAACGTATCGCTTATCAAATTCTTCGAAAATCGACCACTTTTTTCGAATCAACTTTGTCCCTATTATCAAACTCACCCCTATTTTTGAATCGCCGGATACTGGATCTGTCTGCCAGCCCGCTCTGTCCACATCCCCGCGCAGGCGATGTGAGCCAGTCTGGCTTTGTTGATGCTTGAGTGAACACTAACCTGCATTCTCATTCAACCATTTTACAATTAATTCATTGTGTTTAGTGCCTGTGGGACTGTGAAATAAGTTACCATGGTCCCAAAGAAACTTGCTAGTGGTACCTCTGTGGTAAAGAAAGTGAGAAACACCATAGATGTGAAGGAAATAATACAGAAGTATGAGAGTGGTGTGAAACTTGCTGAGCTTGCCAGGGTGTATGGGAAAAAAAGTCAACCATCGCTTCTATCCTGGCAAAGAAAGAACATATCAAGGAAGCTGATAATTGTGAAAGGTGTTAATTTTATTTTTTTTTTATTATTAACACACTGGCCGATTCCCACCAAGGCAGGGTGGCCCGAAAAAGAAAAACTTTCACCATCATTCGCTCCATCACTGTCTTGCCAGAAGGGTGCTTTACACTACAGTTTTTAAACTGCAACATTAACACCCCTCCTTCAGAGTGCAGGCACTGTACTTCCCATCTCCAGGACTCAATTCCGGCCTTCCGGTTTCCCTGAATCCCTTCATAAAAGTTACTTTGCTCACACTCCAACAGCATGTCAAGTATTAAAAACCATTTGTCTCCATTCACTCCTATCAAACACGCTCACACATGCCCGCTTTAAGTCCAAGCCCCTCGCACACAAAACCTCCTTTACCCTCTCCCTCCAACCTTTCCTAGGCTGACCCCTACCCCGCCTTCCTTCCACTACAGACTGATACACTCTTGAAGTCATTCAGTTTCACTCCATTCTCTCTACATGTCCGAACCACCTCAACAACCCTTCCTCAGCCCTCTGGACAACAGTTTTGGCAATCCCGCACCTCCTCCTAACTTCCAAACTACGAATTCTCTGCATTATATTCACACCACACATTGCCCTCAGACATGACATCTCCACTGCCTCCAGCCTTCTCCTCGCTGCAACATTCATCACCCATGCTTCACACCCATACAGGAGCGTTGGTAAAACTATACTCTCATACATTCGCCTCTTTGCTTCCAAGGACAAAGTTCTTTGTCTCCAGAGACTCCTAAGTGCACCGCTCACCCTTTTCCCCTCATCAATTCTATGATTCACCTCATCTTCCATAGACCCATTCGCTGACACGTCCACTCCCAAATATCTGAATACATTCACCTCCTCCATACTCTCTCCCTCCAATCTGATATCCAATCTTTCATCACCTAATCTTTTTGTTATCCTCATAACCTTACTCTTTCCTGTATTCACTTTCAATTTTCTTCTTTTACACACCCTACCAAATTCATCCACCAACCTCTGCAACTTCTCTTCAGAATCACCCAAGAGCACAGTGTCATCAGCAAAGAGGAACTGTGACAACTCCCACTTTATGTGTGATTCTTTATCTTTTAACTCCACACCTCTTGCCAAGACCCTCGCATTTACTTCTCTTACAACCCCATCTATAAATATATTAAACAACCACGGTGACATCACACATCCTTGTCTAAGGCCTACTTTTACTGGGAAATATCTCCCTCTTTCCTGCACACCCTAACTTGAGCCTCACTATCCTCGTAAAAACTCTTCACTGCTTTCAGTAACCTACCTTCTATACCATACATCTGCAATATCTGCCACATTGCCCCCCTATCCACCCTGTCATACGCCTTTTCCAAATCCATAAATGCCACAAAAACCTCTTTAGCCTTATCTAAATACTGTTCACTTATATGTTTCACTGTAAACACCTGGTCTACACACCCCCTACCTTTCCTAAAGCCTCCTTGTTCATCTGCTATCCTATTCTCCATCTTACTCTTAATTCTTTCAATAACAACTCTACCATACACTTTACCAGGTATACTCAACAGACTTATCCCCCTATAATTTTTGCACTCTCTTTTGTCCCCTTTGCCTTTATACAAAGGAACTATGCATGCTCTCTGCCAATCCCTAGGTACCTTACCTTCTTCCATAAATTTATTAAATAATCGCACCAACCACTCCAAAACTATATCCCCACCTGCTTTTAACATTTCTATCTTAATACCATCAATCCCAGCTGCCTTACCCCCTTTCATTCTACCTACTGCCTCACGAACTTCCCCCACACTCACAACTGGCTCTTCCTCACTCCTACAAGATGTTATTCCTCCTTGTCCTATACACGTTAATATGCTAACCAAAAAAAGACCACAGACAATAGATCAGGTTGAGAAGTTGTTGCTGGTGTGGATCAAGGATAATGAGATGGCAGGTGATAGTGTTTCAGAGACGATTATTTGTGAAAAGGCAAGGAAATTGCATGCGGATCTGGTACAGAAAACTCCTGGAACCAGTGCTGATAGTGATATATATATAATATATATATATATATTTAACAAGTCGGCCCGTCTCCCCCCGGGGCCCGGGTGACCCAAAAAAAAACAAAACCCCAAAAAAAGAAAATACTTTCATCATCATTAAAAACCCTTTTCACCTCACTCACACATAATCATTTTTTTTTTGCAGAGGGTGCTCGAACACAACGTTTAAAAAGCATATCGTATAAAAGATACACAACATACCCCTCCAAATGCTAATACCCCAAAACCCCTCCTCTAGAGTGCGGGCCCTTTGTACTTCCCTTTTCCCAGGATCAAGTCGGCTATTTAAAAAAAAACCGGGTTTTCCCCTGAATCACTTCAAAAAAATTTTTACCCTCCCTCACACTCCAAAAGATCGTCAAGCCCCAAAAAATTCCATTGGGTTCCCTTTCCCTTCCTATCAACCGCTCATGAAACCCCTGCTGGAAGTCCAAGCCCCTCGCCCCCCCAAAAAACCTTTCCCTTCCCCCTTTCCCTTTCCCAAACCCTTTTCGAGGCCCCCCCCCCTCCCCCCGCCTTCCTTCTCCTACAGTTTTTAATTTGCTCTCCATGTCTTTTCTACTTTGTTCCATTCTCCCCTAAATGCCCAAAAACCACCTAAAAAAACCCCTCTTCAGCCCTTTTGGGGAAATAATTTTTTTAAAACTCCACCCCCTTTCCAAATTTTTCCACTCCCCAAATTTTTTTGGCAAAATTTTATTTCCCAACCCCCTTTTTTGCCCTTTAGACGGGGGCCCATTTCCACTGCCTCCAACTCCCCTCTCGCTGTTTGCTTTCAAAACCCAAGCTTCACACCTTATAAGAGGGGTTGGAAATTCTATACTTTCATACATTCCCTTCTTTCCTCCATAGATAACGTTTTTTAAACCCCCAATATCCCTCAAGCACCCCTCACCTTTTTTCCTTCATCGTTCTTGTTTAAACCCCCTCCTTAAATAAATCCATCCCCCCGACCGTCAACCCCCAAAGTATCGGGAAAAACATTCATTTTTCCCATACCCCTCCTCCCCAATTTGATATCCAATTTTTTTTATCAAAAATCTTTTTGATCCCCTCATCACCTTACTTTTTTCTATGTCACTTTAAACTTTTTTCCTTTAACACACTCCCAAAAATATCTACAAACCCTTTTGGAAATTTTTTTCTTTAGAATCCCCCCTAAGCACAGTATCATCAGCAAAAAGTAACGTTTTCAATTCCCATTTTGTTTTTGATTCCCCAAAATTTTTAAATCCCACCTGCCCTCCCGAACACCCTAGCATTTATTTCTTTTAAAAACCCCTTATAAATATATTAAGAAACCCCAGGGTTGCATTACACATCCCTGTCTAAGACCTATTTTTACGGGGGAAAGTAGTCCCCCTCTCTCCTTCACACCCAAAACCGACCCTCACAATCCTCATAAAAAACTCTTTACGGCATTTAGAAAACTTACCACCTTTTCCCATTTTACTTGCAACATTTTGGCCACATTGCCCCCCTATCCACTCTTCAAAAAGCCTTTTCAAATTTCCAAAATGCAAAAAAAAGCTTCCCTCCTTTTTTATCTAAATACTTTTTAACATATATGCTTCAATGTAAACACTTGATCTACAACCCCCTTCCCAAACTCTGAAAACCCTTGCCCCATCCAAAAAACCCCTTACATTCTTTTCTTCCCTTTTAATTCTTTAAATTAATAACCCTCCCGGGGTTAATTTT